CAGACCCCTCTCCAGCCTGCCCCCCACCATGCCACGCCAGGGCCGGCAGCTGCCACATAGATCTGTACACGTCCTTGCTCTCGTGCAGATCCCAAAGCACCCGATTGCCCAGCTTCCCCTTATAAGTGCGTGCCCCATCCGTGTTGGTGTTCACCCCAGCCTTGCCAAGCTTACGGAGGGAGATAAGGTTGGCCTTCAGGTCGGGGACGAAGAGAACGTCGTGCAGCACCACCGGCTTGCCATCCGCTCCCTTAAACGCAGCTCGTCCCGCACCAGCCACCTTCAACATGTGTCCAGAGGCGGAGCACACTTCATTGATCGGTGCAGCTCGTACTTCGTCCAGCAGGTCCTTGCGCGGCGTCATCGTCCAAGCAGCGCCTGTGTCCAACACCCAATAGTCTAGGGGGTGCAGCTCTGCTCCAACTTTGGCAGAGGCGTCTCCTTGCTCCCCCTTGTCTCCCACATGGAAAAATTGGCCCGCGGTGCGCTCCTTCTTCTTCTCCGCACCGCCGTTGCCCTTCGGGTTGTTGTCGGACGAATCAGCGACCATGTTGGCGCCGTTTTTCTGGTTCCTCCGCGCGCCGCCATCCTGGTGACGATTCTGGGGGGTCCATCCATCGGGTTTCTTATAGCACAAAAACCAGGGGTGCCCTTCCTTCTCACAATACCAGCAACTCCCTTTCATTTTGCCACCAGCACCCGACTTGCCCCCACGTCCAGATTTCGCACCGCGACCCCAACCGGTACCTCCTTGTTGGTCGTTGGAGTCGTCGTCTTTCTTTGCACCGCGTCCAGCACCACCGAAGCCACGTCCTCTGCCACGTCGGCTCCCTTGCATCCCGTAGCCGCTGCTGCCGTCGTCTCCACCCCTCAGTTGGCGGCGACGGAAGTCCTCCTCCAGAATCTTCGTCCGCACCCACTCGAGCGTCCACAAGCTCTGGTTCTGCGGCAGGCTCAATCCGCTCGTAAATTGAAGCCACGATTCTGGCAGCAGCGAGAGCATCTTCAAGCACTTGGTCTGCTCCGGGTAGGTGATTCCCGTGGTCGCCAACTTCGCGTAGAGGTCGCGCATCTTGTCCAGGACTGGTTGCACCGGCTCTCCCTCGCTCAGGCGCAACGCGGACAGCTCCCTCTCCAGCATCAACGTTGCGACAACGGAGGTCGGGGCGTGCAGCTCCTTCAACACGGTCCACGCCTTCGGACCGCATTCAACCTCCGGCAGCAGGTGCATGACGTGGTGACGCTGGTTCAGCTCCAAACTCTGCGACATCAAATAGTAGCCAGCCGAGGAGCGCTCGTCCCAATCTTCCTGCAGCGTGGGGTCACTCGGTCTAGGCTCCTCCCCAATCATTAGTTTCAGCAAACCGATCTGACGGAAATATAATTGCATTTTCCAGGCCCAATCATCATAGCCCTCACCATTGAACTTCTCGACGGTGAAATTCTTCAGCACCTCCTTGACAAGCGAGCCCTGGTTTGTTCGCGCTCCCCGTGGCGCTGAAAGACCAGAATCTTGGCTGTCGCTACGATCTTGGGCTGAAGATTCACCAGCTCCCGCCGAGGTGTTGCCCGCCATAGCTACCTATAACGAGGATCACTATAACGCAGCTCTGATACCAGCTTGTTGGTGTAAGGGCCTAATAAACTCAAGCTATTAGGACTTAATCAAACTTAAAACCTCTCCTCGGGGTCACCTCCAAGGGTCCCTGGGTGCCTGGTACAAGACCAGCCCCTATCCTCGGGTCCGAGTTTGTAGAGAGAGGGATCAAGAAGGACTTAGTCAAAACAGCAAGAGTACCTTGAACGTCGCGCAGCGTGCCGTGCAGACCGTCGGTCGGATTAAGCTGAGAATTCGCTATATCGAAGCTCGCTCCAAGAGCTTTAAAATGAGCCAAGTTGCCTCGCGAAAAGTTCTGCCATTACTAAGTTATGGCTCGGACAGCGTTTGCCTAGCGTTGGAGTGCTAGCATACTAGCGTTGACTCGGGTAGCATTCCGCCGTCGAATAGCGCAGAAACGAAATTCCAGCGAGGAAGGAATTCGCTTGAATCAATTTGACTATATTCAGGTGCAAACAGAGAAGGATTAAATAGTTTTAGCTAGCAAGGACCTTGGGAATCAACCTGGGAATAACCAGGGATGATCCCAAATAATTCCAAGCAACAGAACCAACCTGGCTGGACAAAATAGCAGGTGGTAGGTTGGTAAACAACCTCTGGTTCTGTTTTTTCCAACCTGGGAAAACAACAACCAGGTTCAGGTTCTAAAAACAGAACCTGTTTTGTCTTTGCCCAACCAGCCAAATGCTGGTTCCGCTGGTTTCCCCTGGCCTTGTAGCATGCAGATACAGACAAACAACATCCAACCTTCACCTAAATTGTACCCCTATAGTGTCTTCCCTGCTACACTATAGTTAACCAAACAAAACAGTACAATTCCGAATGGATAGAACTGAATCTGCGCAATCAACTCAACCGAACTGCAAAGCTTCCATCTTGGGTTCCTTTGCGAGCTCGTCCTTTCTGCTTGCACTGTTCATAGCGCATACAATGTTGTGCCGAAGCGCACATTGCGCGAGTACCTGCAAATGCATCAAGCGAAAAATGCGAAAGCAAACAAACACACGAACACACCATTCACACGCAAATGCATTCGCACACGCATACTCGTACAAACAGACGGCAGGATGTCGTGCAATGTGCATTTGCACCCAACATCTTGATGTAGATCGGATTCACCGTCCCCCTCTTCACCTCCTTACGCAGCCAGTGCCACTTGATACGCATGTGCTTATTCAGCCCATGAAGCACAGCGTTCCTGGCCATCCCAAGAGCCCCCTTGCTGTCACAAAACAGCGGCGTAGCAACCTTCTGCTCCTGGCCAATCTCCTCTAACAGCCTCCTCAGCCAAATCACCTCCTTCACCCCATGGAACATTGCCATATACTCTGACTCAACAGATGCAAGAGAGTGCCGTCTCCGTCTGCTTCTTGGACCTCCAACTAACAGGTCCACCCCCAACTAAGCAGAAGTATCCTCCCACAGATGAGGAATCCTCCTTCTCAGAAGCCCAAGTAGCATCAGTAAAGCAAGTGAGAAAGAGCTTGCCTTCTCCAAGCCTCTCCCCCTTCTCTTTCAGCACCTCAACCCCTTTCTGCTTCACCTGTGCAGATGCGGAGTATTGAACTCCAATGCTTGGGTGAGAGTTCAAATACTTCACCACGCGCTCAGCTGCATCCACCTGCTCCTCTGATGGATTCTGCACCACCCTAGCCAGCTGCCCAACTGAGAAAGAGATGTCGGGCCTCGTGTGAACCGCTGCATATAAGAGGCTGCCCACCAAGGACTGAAATTGCTGCTGCTCCTTGGCTTCAACCTCTTCATCCTCTGCAGCCTTCACAAGCTTGAATTTTGCTTGAATTCTGCAACCTTGCGCTCATTCTCAATCCCATACTTCTCCCCCAGCTCCTTGATAAACTTCTCCTGGTGCAGCTTCAATCACCTGTGATCTGGATCCCTCTCCACGTGCATCCCGAGGTAGTACTTTACCTCCCCAAGGTTCTTGCACTTGAAGTTCTCCATCAGCTGCTGCTGCACTTTCTGGATCTCTTTCATGCTGCTGCTGAAGAGAAGAATGTCGTCCACGTAGACCAGAAACAGCACCAGCTTCTCCCCCTCCCCCTTGAGAAAGAGGCTCTCATCGCAGCTGCTGGTCCTGAATTCCATCTCCTCTAAAACAGCTGCCAACCTCTGGTACCAGCAGCGTGGCGCCTGCTTCAAGCCGTAGATGGACTTTTTTCAGCTTGCACACCCTGCCCGTACCATCCTCATACCCAGGCGGCTGCGTCATGTACACATCCTTCTCTAAAATCCCATTGAGAAATGTCGATATATCCAGCTGAGTGATGAATTTCCCACTAACGGCTGCATCTGCCAACAAGACACGGAGGGTAGGGGGTTTGGCAGTGGAAGCAAAGATCTCGTTGAAGTCCTGCTTCTCCTTCTGCATAAACCCCTTAGCCACCAGCCTACTCTCTTCTTAGCCACCCGTCCTTTGTCATCGGTCTTGATCCTTAGCACCCACTTGCACTGTACGGCTTTCTGTTGATTGTGTAGGTGGTTGTGGTATTTTGCTCTAGCTGGTTGTGGGCTAAGGGTTTGGGCAAAATGTGGTGGTTGGACTTGTTGCGGGCTGGAATTGAACTCGCACCCAACAAGCACCAACAAACCTTTGTTACCAACTACAACACCTTTGGTGTTGCTAGTTTGGCATTTTGGGTTGTTGGGGATTGTTGTAGGGCGAGGGTTGGGATGGTAGGGTTTGCCAAACTCGTCACTTTTCAGATCTGAACTCTTGCTTATGTCATTCCTAGATCTAATCCATGGCTGCCAAGTAATTCCGCCAGGATACCCCGTCGCACATAAATCGCGATAGCGATCGGCCTAGATCTTGGTTGAAGGCGTGCTTTACCATTCTGGAAAGTAGAGATTAAGACCTTTCTAACGCGTACTTGCTCATTGTTCTAGGTTACGTGAGCTGCACGCAATGGTTCGCCGAAGTCGGCGGACTTAATCTCTTGTTACACTCTCCAGATTCGCTGAAGACCTGAAGGGCGTTTTGGAGGGATCGGAGCGAAGACCTGAAGCTGATGAAGGGAAGGCATCTACTGGAGTCTCTAGCCAAGTGGGAGAAGGGGCTGGGGGAGCCTCTAGTTCATCTACAACTGAGGGAAGTGGAGGTGGATCAGCAGCACCGCGAACCGGAAGGCAACGATTTAGTGCGGAGGAGCTTATTAAGGCACAGGAAGCATGGGACCGCAAGGACAAGCAAGCGTTCCAGTACCTGTGTTGGGCCTTGGAAGGCCAACTAGAGCTCCTAAAGATGCTGATTGACCTGAAGGGGAAGCAAGGTGCAGCTGCCCAAGCATGGAAGAGAGTTCAAGATCGGCACTTGCAAAAAAGCCTGCTAAGCATACTCACCTGGAGGAAGCGGTTTTACACCATGGAACGCAACTATGGTGATGGGGAGACCATGGTGCAGTATCTCTATAGGGTGGATGAGTATGTGAGAGCCTTGGAGGAGTTAAACTACACTGTAGATGAGAAGGAGATCATCTACACCGCACTCCAGGGGCTGGACCAAGAGGCGAACGAGGCCCTACTGCAGTACCTTCATCTTGAGCAACAGAAATGGATTAAGGCCTGGATATGGGAGGTGTTGGTCTCTGATGAGGCTCGCAAAAGGGATGCTGGTAGAGGAGTTGAAGGGGGAATGGGGGCAGGTGATAGGGCTGCCTCCAAGAAATACCAGCAGCGGCAAGGAGGTGGGGGGAAGAAGAAGGAGCTCGACAAGTGCCTCGTCCCTGGATGCAACCGGAAGCACTCGTGGAAGGAGTGTTGGAGCCGACCAGATGGGTGGAAGCCTCAAGGGTACCCAAGAGAAGCTCCACCTGTTACAAGGCCTGAGTGGGTGGAGAGGAGGATGAAGAATGGAGCATGGAACAAGAAGGGCAGCAAAGAGAAAGCGGCAGCAGCGGCGGCAAACGAGGATAAGAAGGGAAAGGAGGACTCATCGGATTATGGCTTCTGCTTCTTATCATTAGAGACAGAGACGGCGCTTGCTGGTCGTACGTTGGCTGACCCCAATCAGCTCATTCTAGACTCTGGAGCAACCTGTGGAATGGTGCCTCGGCGCGACCTCTTCACCATCTATCACTCCCTCCCACCTAACTCCAGAAATGTGATGCGCTACAAGCAATCGGCATCGGCACCATCACCGTCAAAGGGAAGGAGGGGGAGGTGCTGAATGTGAAGGGTGTGCTTCATGTTCCTGAATTGGCAGCCAACCTTCTCTCATGCTCTCAGCTTGCGAAGCAAGAATACATATGCACCTTCACCATGGAAGGTGGCACGGTTTGCAAGGGTGGAGCTGTGGTGATGGAGGCCAAGTTAGAGAAAGGTCTATACCTTGTTCCAGTTTGTGTGCCTCAGGTGGAAAGGGCACATGGTGTTGAAGCCGAGGAAGCCGCTTGTAGCACCCGTTGGAGGGACGTGGAGCAGGTGACGGCGGATTTGCTGCACCTACGCATGGGCATGCGGGGAAGCAACAGCTTGTGGAGTGTGTGAAGAAGGGGGAGCTGAAGGGTGTGGAGATCAAGGAAGGTGGTGGGCAGCCAAGCAAGTGCCCTGATTGCACCACCGGGAAGCTGCCAAGGACATCCTTTCCAACCTCCACCTCTCGGGCCACCGCACCTCTTGAGTTGGTGCACACGGATGTGTGTGGCCCCATGCAAACTCCGGACAGAGAGAAGGGCAGCAAGTACTTCATCACATTCCTAGATGACGACAGCGCCGCCTCAGTTGGGTCACCTTGGTGAAAACCAAGGATGAGGTGGCCAAGGTCTTCAAGCGTTGGATACGCTATGCGGAGAGGGAAGCCGGGGCCAAGGTAAAAACACTTAGGTCTGATCGGGGTGGGGAGTACATGGGGAAGGATCTGGAGTACAAGGGCATCACCCACCAGCTTTCAGTTGCCTACACGCCGCAGCAAAATGGGGCAGCAGAGCGGCTAAACCGGACCCTCATTGACCTTGCCCGAGCCATGCTTGCTCATGCGCAGCTGGACCATACTTGGTGGGGGGCAGCAGTGCAATATGCCAACTGGGTTAAGAACCGGATGGGCAGCAAGGGGCTAGGGGGCAAGAGCCCATACTTCATGTGGACCAGGAAGGTGCCTAGTGTGTCCATGGCACGAGTGTGGGGGTGCATGGCGCAGTACAAAGTGCCCGACCAGCAACGGAGGAAGCTGGATCCCAAGGCACAATGGGGCATTTTCCTTGGGGTGTCGGAGAGGAGCAAAGCTTGGATGTTGTGGAGTGTGGCGGATCAGCGGGTGGTGGAAAGCCGGGATGTGGTTTTCCATGAGGGGCTGAGCTACAAGGGGTGGAAGGAGCATGGTGCTAGTACAGTTGGGAGCTCCTTCTAGGATCCCTACACCTCTTCCATTTTTGAGGGGACATGGGAGGATCCTGGAGAGAAGGTGGAGGAGCAGCAGGAGGAACACAAGGCAGCTGCACCTCACCATGAGGATTCCCCAACTGCTGGTTCCACCCCTGACCCTAACAAACCAGCCCATGAACAGCAGCAGGAGCAGCAGGAGCAGCAGGAGCAGCAGCAGCAGCAGCAGCAGCAGCAGCAGCAGCAGCAGCAGCAGCAGCAGCAGCAGCAGCAGCAGCAGCAGCAGCAGCAGCAGCAGCAGCAGCAGCAGCAGCAGCAGCAGCAGCAGCAGTAGCAGCAGCAGCAGCAGCAGCAGCAGCAGCAGCAGCAGCAGCAGCAGCAGCAGCAGCAGCAGCAGCAGCCACCACAGCAGCATACACCGCCTATTGCTGTGGGAAGGTGGCAGCAACTATTGCAGCAGCAGCTACCAAGTCACCACGGTCACCAAGTCACCAAGTCCCCCATGAAGAGAGTGACTTGGAAGGAGAAGCTGCAAAGTTTGGAGCAGGGGGAGGCATCACCTCTGCGCCGCACCACACGCATCTCCGGACCACCTGAAAGGTTCACACCAAGTGCACAGTATGCTTGCATGCATGATCATGAGGTGCATGATTTGGAGGAGTGCATGCTTGTGGATGCTGAGGGGGGTGAGCTTGGGCTTGATTTCTGTCTCATGGGTCAGGTGCATGAGCCTAAGTCGGTCAAGGAGGCCTTGTCCCGTCCTGAGTGGGTCGAGTCCATGCGTGAGGAGCTTGAGTCTCATAGGGTGAACGAGTCCTTTGTGTTGGTGTAAGGGCCTAATAAACTCAAGCTATTAGGACTTAATCAAACTTAAAACCTCTCCTCGGGGTCACCTCCAAGGGTCCCTGGGTGCCTGGTACAAGACCAGCCCCTATCCTCGGGTCCGAGTTTGTAGAGAGAGGGATCAAGAAGGACTTAGTCAAAACAGCAAGAGCACCTTGAACGTCGCGCAGCGTGCCGTGCAGAGCGTCGATCGGATTAAGCTGAGAATTCGCTATATCGAAGCTCGCTCCAAGAGCTTTAAAATGAGCCAAGTTGCCTCGCGAAAAGTTCTGCCATTACGAAGTTATGGCTCAGACGGTGTTTGCCTAGCATTAGAGTGCTAGCGTACTAGCGTTGACTCGGGTAGCATTCCGCCAACGAACCGCGTAGAAACGAAATTCCAGCGAGGAAGGAATTCGCATGAATCAATTGACTATATTCAGGTACAAACAGAGAAGGATTAAATAGTTCTAGCTAGCAAGGACCTTGGGAATCAACCTGGGAACAACCAGGGATGATCCCAAATAATTCCAAGCAACAGAACCAACCTGGCTGGACAAAATAGCAGGTGGTAGGTTGGTAAACAACCTCTGGTTCTGTTTTTCCAACCTGGGAAAACAACAACCAGGTTCAGGTTCTAAAAACAGAACCTGTTTTGTCTTTGCCCAACCAGCCAAATGCTGGTTCCGCTGGTTTCTCCTGGCCTTGTAGCATGCAGATACAGACAAACAACATCCAACCTTCACCTAAATTGTACCCCTATAGTGCCTTCCCTGCTACACTATAGTTAACCAAACAAAACAGTACAATTCCGAGTTGGATAGAACTGAATCTGCGCAATCAACTCAACCGAACTGCAAAGCTTCCATCTTGGGTTCCTTTGCGAGCTCGTCCTTTCTGCTTGCACTGTTCATAGCGCATACAATGTTGTGCCAAAGCGCACATTGCGCGAGTACCTGCAAATGCATCAAGCGAAAAATGCGAAAGCAAACAAACACACGAACACACCATTCACACGTAAATGCATTCGCACACGCATACTCGTACAAACAGACGGCAGGATGTCGTGCAATGTGCATTTGCACCCAACACACTCCCCCTCAGCCTGCCGGCTGCATCCCCGTCATTCCATGCTAGTTCATGCTCATTCCACTCATGCGCACACAACGCCAATGAGGCTCATCCGCAAGCCTCTTGGTGAGAAAGTCTGCTGGCTGCTGGTGAGTCTTGATGTAGATCGGATGCACCGTCCCCCTCTTCACCTCCTTACGCAGCCAGTGCCACTTGATACGCATGTGCTTGTTCAGCCCATGAAGCACAGCGTTTCTGGCCATCCCAAGAGCCCCCTTGCTATCACAAAACAGCGGCGTAGCAACTTTCTGCTCCTGGCCAATCTCCTCTAACAGCCTCCTCAGCCAAATCACCTCCTTCACCCCATGGAACATCGCCATGTACTCTGATTCTACGGAAGAGAGTGCCGTCTCCGTCTGCTTCTTGGACCTCCAACTAACAGGTCCTCCCCCAACTACGCAGATGTATCCTCCCACAGATGAGGAATCCTCCTTCTCAGAAGCCCACGTAGCATCGGTAAAGCAAGTGAGAAATAGCTTGCCTTCTCCAAGCCTCTCCCCCTTCTCTTTCAGCACCTCCACCCCTTTCTGCTTCACCTGTGCAGATGCGGAGTATTGAACTCCAATGCTTGGGTGAGAGTTCAGGTACTTCACCACACGCTCAGCTGCATCCACCTGCTCCTCTGATGGATTCTGCACCACCCTAGCCAGCTGCCCAACCGAGAAAGAGATGTCGGGCCTCGTGTGAACTGCTGCGTACAAGAGGCTGCCCACCAAGGACTGAAATTGCTGCTGCTCTTCAGCTTCAACCCCTTCATCCTCTGCAGCCTTCACAAGCTTGAATTCTGCTGGCAGGGGAGTTGCAACCTTGCGCTCATTCTCAATCCTATACTTCTCCCCCAGCTCCTTGATGAACTTCTCCTGGTGCAGCTTCAACCACCTGTGATCTGGATCCCTCTCCACGTGCATCCCGAGGTAGTAATTTACCTCCCCAAGGTTCTTGCACTTGAAGTTCTCCATCAGTTGCTGCTGCACTTTCTGGATCTCCTTCATGCTGCTGCTGAAGAGAAGAATGTCGTCCACATAGACCAGAAACAGCACCAGCTTCTCCCCCTCGCCCTTGAGAAAGAGGCTCTCATCACAGCTGCTGGTCCTGAATCCCATCTCCTCTAAAACAGCTGCCAACTTCTGGTACCAGCAGCGTGGCGCCTGCTTCAAGCCGTAGATGGACTTGTTGAGCTTGCACACCCTGCCCGTATCATCCTCATACCCAGGCGGCTGCGTCATGTACACATCCTCCTCTAAAATCCCATTCAGGAATGCCGTTGAAATATCCATCTGAATGATGAATTTCCCACTAACAGCTGCATCTGCCAACAAGACACGGAGGGTAGGGGGTTTGGCAGTGGGAGCAAAGATCTCGTTGAAGTCCTGCTTCTCCTTCTGCATAAACCCCTTCGCCACCAGCCTACTCTTGTAGATGGTGACCTGCCCCTTGTCATCGGTCTTGATCCTCAGCACCCACTTGCATTGTATCGCTTTCTTCCCATCAGGCAGCACCACCAGATCCCATGTCCTATTCTCCAGCAGACTCTGGTACTCAGCATCCCTAGAAGCCAGCCACTTGTCCCTATCTGGTCCAGCTAATGCCTCCTCCATGCTAGCTGGTTCCTCTGGTGCAGGGGCAAGAAAACAGTACGCAGGCTCATCCTCCTCATCCGGGTCATAGCCATGAGGTAGAATCAGCAATGCCTCTTCGGTCCCTAGCTGCTGCTCTGCTGCATCAGTTCCTGCAGTCAGCTTCTTAGTAGCCATACGGGTACGTCCTGGCCTGGAGACGGGTGTCTCCCATCCCTTCATAACGACACCCTTCGGCTTCTTAGTTTTTCCCTGCTGCTTTTCTCCTCCCTCGGGTCCAGCAGCTCCACTAGTGCTGCCGCCAGTTTCCACACCATTTTCTCCACCAGCAGATGCCTCCTGTACCTTCTCTCCATCACCATTTCCAGCAGCTGCCTCCTCTCCCTCCTCCCACACACTAGGAGTCAGGTCCAGCTGCATGGTGATCTGCTCCATCTGCTGGGACACCCTTGCCTCCGGCTGTTTCTCCCAGCTCCCGTACATCATGCCCTCAATGAATTTCACATCCCTGCTGTCAAACAACACACCCTTGGATGGTTCCCACAGCAGCCATCCCTTGCTCTCAGCAGCCAGCCCCAAATGCACACACCAGATTGCACTCGCCCCCAACTTACTGCGGTAGGTCTTGGGGACGTGGGCGACTGCCATGCAACCGAACACCCTCAGCATGTCCACCGGCGGCTTCCTCCCAAGCCACCTCTCCAACGGCACCCACGAGTCATCCCCAACCTTGGTGAGCACCCTGTTCCTAGCGACAGTGGCGTGCCGGACAGCATGAGGCCACATAGAATTGCTCAGCCCAGATTCTATGAGCAGCGCCCTAGCTGTCTCCAGAATGGTCCGGTTTGCCCGTTCTGCTACACCATTGGACTGTGGGGTATAAGCCGTGGTCAGCTCTCTCTGGATGCCCTGCTTCTTGAGCCAGGCCGTCATTTCAGCTCCAAGGAACTCACCACCCCGGTCTGTCCTAATCCGCTTCACTACACACTCCGCCTGCTTCTCCACGAATGGCAGCCAATCGTCCCGTATCGTGGAGGCGGCGTGGTCCTTCTGCTTCAGCGGATACGCCCATATCAGCCTGCTCCAGTCATCCACAATTGTAAGAAAATACCGCTCCCCCTTGTGCCCTTGCACCGGCAGCGGCCCCACCAAGTCCATGTGGACCAGCTCCAAAGGCTTTTTGCTCCTGCCAGCCACACTATGGAAAGGGAAACGGGTGAACTTTGAAAGCAAACAGATTTCACAGTTGTCATCGGGTGGCTGTCCGTTCAGCTTCAGACCCTTAACGGCTCCATCCTTCTCCAGCTGCTTCAGCAAAGGCATTGCCACATGCCCTAAGCGCCGGTGTGCCGTTGCCCAATCTGTCTCCCCAGATCTGGCCGACACTTTCACACCAACCCCTCCAACGGCATTGCACTCCCCCTGGGATGCAGACCCCTCTCCAGCCTGCCCCCCACCATGCCACGCCAGGGCCGGCAGCTGCCACATAGATCTGTACACGTCCTTGCTCTCGTGCAGATCCCAAAGCACCCGATTGCCCAGCTTCCCCTTATAAGTGCGTGCCCCATCCGTGTTGGTGTTCACCCCAGCCTTGCCAAGCTTACGGAGGGAGATAAGGTTGGCCTTCAGGTCGGGGACGAAGAGAACGTCGTGCAGCACCACCGGCTTGCCATCCGCTCCCTTAAACGCAGCTCGTCCCGCACCAGCCACCTTCAACATGTGTCCAGAGGCGGAGCACACTTCATTGATCGGTGCAGCTCGTACTTCGTCCAGCAGGTCCTTGCGCGGCGTCATCGTCCAAGCAGCGCCTGTGTCCAACACCCAATAGTCTAGGGGGTGCAGCTCTGCTCCAACTTTGGCAGAGGCGTCTCCTTGCTCCCCCTTGTCTCCCACATGGAAGAATTGGCCCGCGGTGCGCTCCTTCTTCTTCTCCGCACCGCCGTTGCCCTTCGGGTTGTTGTCGGACGAATCAGCGA